CTTTTTTTGGAAGGAAAAAAAAAAAATTCCAAACTGGGCTGCCATAGCCAAGAAGAGCCATAAAGCAGCAATTGTTTCAAGGTTTATAGTTATCGTGACATTGATGCAAATTTCTTTTAGCTTGTCTATGTTAATTTGCATTGTATATTAGCATTAAGCTAGCAGGCTTTTAGAATTTTTTTGGTTGGACATTTTTTTTTTTGTGTTTGAAAATACAATGTTAAATTTTCTTTTATATGTCAGTTTTTGTCGGAGTGATCAATAAACACCTTGAAGCGAGCATGCTGTGCCTCTTATTTGGAGAGTTGTGCAAGTGACAGAGTCTTCTCTTTCTTTCCCTTTCAGTGATGTTATCCATTCATCCATCTGCTATCTGAACCGCTTATCCTCACGAGGGTCGCGGTGGGTGTTAAGGGATTAAAGTGTTTTAATAAATTCAGTGGGGGGGGCACTAAAGAATATATTAAAAATTATGAGCTCACTACACCGTGAATTTTCATCTAGAATAGGATACGGGCAATATTAATTCGGATTTGGGATAGTGATGGGTTCTGCTCAGTTAGAGTAAGTCATAAAAGGTTTGAGTTTGGGTTGGGTTAGAGTGAGTGCAGTATTAGGCTAAGGTTCTGCAGTGTGTTAAGATTGGTAAAGGTTTACTAATTCGCCAAGGTAAAAAGATGTTCAAATTAGGTGTAGGATTAGTTAGGGTTGGGTTTATAAAAGTCATGATTAGTTTGCTATTTTTTCGCAAGGGCAGAATTTTTAAAATGATGCATTAGGAGTAGATACCAGTGTCTTCAATGTAACATTTTGTGTTTTAAGCATGACTCAGAGCAAGAAGAAACACCCTTAAAAACACAGAAAGTTGTCCATTTTGATTGGGAGCGGTCTTTTTAGGCTCATTCGGTACTTTTCCGAGGGTTCTTTAAAGACCTGCTGATCTGATTAACGACCAAATTGGAAATTCAGCTTCTACCTTGTCAACATTAGATTTGGTAGTCATGTCAATCATGAGTAGACCACCAAAAAAAAAGGATCAGAAAGCTATCCACAAAATGACACAGGAAATAAGACATTATGGTTTAAAGCAGCCATTTTGGGTGAATTCCATGGCTTGTATTTTGACAAACATCCATCCATCCATTCACTTATCCTCACAAGGGTCGCGGGTGTGCTGTAGCCTATCCCATTTGTCTTTGGGCAGGAGGCAGGTTGCACCCTGAACTGGTTGCCAACCGATCGCAGGGAACACATAGACGAACAGCCATTCACGCTCACAATCACACCAAAGGACAATTTGGAGTGGCCAATCAACCTACCATACATGTTTTTTTTTGGAATGTGCTTGTAAACCGGAGTTTGTCTTTGGGCAGGAGGCGGGTTGCACCCTGAACTGGTTGCCAACCAATCGCAGGGAACACATAGACAAACAGCCATTCACGCTCACAATCACACCAAAGGATAATTTGGAGTGGCCAATCAACCTACCATACATGTTTTTTTGGAATGTTGTTGGAAACCGGAGTACCCAGAGAAAACCCACGCAGGCACAGGGACAACATGCAAACTCCACACAAGAAGGCCGGAGCCGGAATCGAACCCTGCACCGAGGCACTGTGAGGCCGACGTGCTAACCTGTTGACAAACATCTATAGTGAATTAGTCCAAAAAGACATTATTGATGAGACTTAAATGTCATTATGAAGGCAAGCAGGTGCCAGGGACATGTTCCAGAAGCTCCAATGACCTCTTGCAAACTTTTCAGTCCATCCGTGGCTTGCAAGCCGCGTGGGGGCACGGAGCGGAACATTGGGAGCGTTAGCGAGCTCCAAAGGGCAAGAGCTACAATGTGTGTGCGTGAGATTCAGGAAGCAGCGGCCATGTCGTGTTCCGCACAGTGAGTTGGACCTTAGCCTCAACCTGAACTTTCTGCCAGGATCAAACAACGCCCCCCACCTTTCACCGTGCCCCTCGACCACCACTACCTTAGTTCTCCCTTTAGGGATTGATCAATCCTCCAACTGTTTGAGTACATCATGTAATTAAACTAAAAGTTCCATTAAGCGATGTTTACATTGATCCCATCAGCTGACATGTGAGGATGATTTAATATATTTCATATGGAATTGTAGGGCTTTTATCTGAATTTGACCTGTCCGATGCCCCCTTAAACGCGCATCACCATCCAATGGTGAACAACATCTCGGAGCATTACAATTAATTAGAGTACATTGAGCTTGCTTATTTTCCGCTTGGAAAAAAAAAATGTATTTCTTACAATCTATGATAAAAATGTATTTTCTTTTGGTCCATTTTAAATATCGCAATAATACGGATACTGCTATATTCAACGTCCATATTGCATGTTTGTTCAATATTGTGCACCCCAGTATATAATGTCTGAAAAAACTTGATTGACTTTGCTCATAGAAACATTTAGTTGTATGTATTAGTGGGGGGGGGGGGGTTCCCCCTTAGATCATCCAACTTAAACACTCTTTTTGGGTGCTTTCTTGCCTCCAACAGCCAAAGAAAATTTTTGCACTGCCTCTTTGTGTTTCGATTACTTTTGTCCACTCACTCAGCCACACAACAGGGAGTGGCAGCTAGGGTACAGATTCCTGCGAGGAGAGAACACCTCGTAAAAGTCAAAGATAAGACCCGGTTGCCGTTGTCAAGATCGCACAAAAACCCAATTAATCATGCAAATCACGCGGCGGCCATCTTGGTATGTGCCATAAAAACGCTGTGATTGCATCACGGCCTCCCCACACTGGCAGCAACTTTGATCCCAGACGAGCTCACGAGATTTAATCACCAGGTCGGCGACACCAATCATGAGAGATTATCAGATGGGCCGTGGGAAATGATTCAATTTCACAATTTTTTTCAGTATTTTATTTCCAAGAAAATTTGTTTACAACACAAATAATGAATCTCAGTTAATGATCCCAGACGAGCTCACGAGATTTAATCACCAGGTCGGCGACACCAATCATGAGAGATTATCAGATGGGCCGTGGGAAATGATTCAATTTCACAATTTTTTTCAGTATTTTATTTCCAAGAAATTTTATTTACTACAAATAATGAATCTCAGTTAATCAATTTATGCCGATGACGTATGGTGACAGGCACAACAATTAAACGCCCCTCGCAAGATGGCAGAAGTAACAATAGGATATTTTTTAAAAATCAGCCCATACAGCAAGGCTGATTTTGCAACATCAAATTTGGTAGACATATTTATCATGAGCAGGCCCACAAAAAAGTAAGACCTGAAAAGACCAAGGAAGTCTACCGTTTTGGTTTGAAACTGCCATTTAAAGATAATTTACAGAAGATCTCCAAAGATGAATTTGGTTTCAACTCTTGGAATTCAAAAAATTCAGACCCTGAATCTAGTTGTACTGTATTTTGCAACATGAAATTTGATAGGTATGTTTGTCATTAAAAAACTCACCAAAAAGTCCGAAGAAGCCATGCCTGAAAAAACACAGCCTGCAATTTTGATTTGAAGCTACCATTTTAGGCTAATTTCTAGGATTTCTTCAAATATTTGACTTGTCAACCCCGTGAAAAAAAAGGAAAGAAAATAAATCAGCCCCCAACACCAGTTTCATTTAGGGACATGAAATTTGGTAGGCATGATTGTCCTGAGTAGACCCACAAAAAAGGCTCCAGAAGCTAAACTTGTAAAGACACAGAAAGTCAGCAATTTTGGCTCACTAGCGCCCTCCAGATTATTTCAAAGAATTCATCCCCCAAAAGCCATTTTCACTTAGCAACATGAAATTTGGTTGGCATGTCTATCCTGAGTAGACCACAAAGAAGTCTCAGGAAGTCACGCAATCTTCTTGAGATTTTACGTGATTGCTACCAAATTTGAATGTCATATAGAAGAAAAACAACATTTTCTTTCTCTTGGGAGGAAAGTGATGGAGGAGGCTGGAATCCGAGTGCTCCTCCCAATTCCTAAACATGACCCGCTGGTGATCTTTGCTACGCCGAGGCCTGAGGCGACCGATTTTGTGGGCCACGACGTGTGCGCTGTGTCAATACAACAAAGTAGGTGTGTGTGTGACTCTATGTGTGTGTGTTCAAATTGGAATTAGGCCCAAGATTTGAAAGTCGCTCGGATGTGTTTGCTCTGTACAAAGTATGTGTGTGTGTGTGTGTGTGTGTGTGTGTGTGTGTGTGTGTGTGTGTGTGTGTGTGTGTGTGTGTGTGTGTGTGTGTGTGTGTGTGCGTGTGTGTGTGTGTGTGTGTGTGTGTGTGAGTGAGAGACCAAGGATTGAGCATTTCCTGCTCTTTTCTTTTCTTAAATTGAGTCACACTACAACAGCTTTTAACTTTCTGAGTCATGACACTGACAAATATATGTTCTGAGTTCCTACGTACATACTGATCGCTCCCAATCTGCCAACTAAATTGCCTTTTGGGAGCACTTCCACACTATCTCAACCCTCTAGCAGCAGCCCATTTTTTTGAAATACCCCTGGAAATTGCCAAAATAACCTTAAGATGGCTGCCTTTTGGGAGCACTTCCACACTATCTCAACCCTCAAGCAGCAGCCCATTTTTTTTGAAATACCCCTGGAAATGGCCGAAATAACCTGAAGATGGCCGCTTCCAAATAAAATGGTGGGCTTCCTATGTCTTTTTGCCTTCTTAAGACTTTTTTGTAGCTTCACTCTTGAGCCATGGTTACCAAATTTTATGTTATTGGGTTAAATTACTTGCAATGTGACAGAATCTCATGGTTTATTTTTGAGGAACAGCTGGAAATGGACAAAATAACCCGCAAATTGGGGTTCTGAGCCAAAAATGTCAGACTTCCTATGTCTTATCAGGCAAAACGTATGGTAAGTATTTTTTGTGAGTCCGAAAGCTGCGGCTTTAAACCAAAAATGCCAGACTTCCTGTCTCTTTTCAGGCAATACTTTTTAGTGAATCTATTCACAATAGACACATCTACCCAATTTCACATTGCTGATGGATACAGAGGCTTTTCTAAATTTAGTCGAAAACTCCCCAAAAAATAAAACCTGAAAATGGCCAAAATTACTCAAAAGGGAAGCTTCAAAGCCCTTGTGTCTTTTTCAGCATGGCCTTGTGACTTAGTTGTTGGGCTGCTCATTGCAGACATGACAACCAAATTTCCTGTTGGTAACTCAAACTGCTTTCAGGGTCTGAATTGATTAGTTTAAAATTTTAATAGCAATTTGCTGCCATGCTCCACCTAAATGAAATGACAAAAACTGAAATTCTTCACAACGTAGCATCACCAAGGTGTCTCGTTTTTGTGCTTCGAATTTGATAGCAATTGGACATCATTTCTTTTTGTCGTTGGCCTTTAAAGGTCCTCTATAAATGCTCCAAATAAGTATGAAATGACAGCTTCAAACCAAAATGGAAAACTCCATGTGTCTTATCAACCGCGACTTCTTGAGACTATTTTGTGGGTCTGCTCATGACAGATACGACTAGCAAATTTCATGCAGCTGAGTCGAATTGACTTCAGGGGCCACATTTCTTTAATTATATGTTTTATGGTAAGTCAATCAAGGTATTACTTTGGCGCCTACTTGTGGCATCTTCATGACAAGGAACTATGTTGAAGTGAATGTAGAAATTTAATTTCAAGTAATGCTTTTAGAGTGGGCATCAATTACTATTCACTATTTGTGCCAATACAAAATAATAATTCATCCTTCAATTTTATTGACATTTTCTTCACTTGTTCTGAATTTTGCATTGCCAGCGTTGCTTACACTTTCACCCACAACTGAGATACTGTCATCATCTTCAGTTTCATAGGTTGGATCCTGGTCTGTATCATCTATGTTGCCTGAAAGAAAGGAGAGAAACTAGGGATTAGTGCAAAATGGTCTAAGTCCAAATATTTGTCAATTATATACAGCCAGACTTTACGAAAGATGATAAGTAACGTTCACTTTTTTGACATGCAACATTTTTTCCGCGAGGCTGAAGCACTACAAGTGGAACCCCGATTTAACGAAATGATAGTGGGGGAAATGTCGGTCGTTAACCCTGATTGACAGTTGAAATGACGAACTTTTTTGAGCCTACAACCCCCCGGAAGAGTATGACATTTTTGTTTTGTAATATTTTTGTGACATAAAAGTGCCCAGTACAGTATCAAATTATTGTAAATAAGAACAAAAAAGCTAGAAATTGTTTGAAAAAAAATTCATTCAAACTTACCTCGCTGGTGCTCTGGCAGGTGTTAATGGCATTCAGCTGGTCACTTTGATGAGATGCACTTCCTTTTTTTCACTCCTTTTATGATTGGCACCATAGACAGGCTTGACACAAAAAAAAAGAAAAACAACAACAACAACTGGCTCCTGATTAAACAACAACCATAACTAAGAAGAGTGAAATGACTCCGGCGACGCATTTCCCCTGCCAACATGGCCGCCACGTAGGCACGTCTGTTAGCCTGCTCGATTGAGTCTGTCCTGAAAATCTGTGACACCAGCAGCACAACCCAGAATTCGTGGACTCGATTCTGTCTGTTGATTATGCCACAGCACCAGGAAACAACTGCAGACAATTCTGGAACTGACAGACTTTGACAGCTATTGTACAAATGAGCACTTGGAGTGGACTGGACATCGTTTTCTGTCTGTTAAACCTCAAATCCTTGAAATTGACTGTGTGCACTATAGCGTGACCATGAACAACCAACTAGGACCCCCAAAAACCCCGCCACTCTCTCCTGCGTGCTGGCCGCTGGTCAATATTGACACAGGGATGGAAGCACTTTGTCACGCTGCCATGTCGCTGCTTTGGTTTCACTGTGACTCGACGCGCTGCTATTGCAGGGCAGAACATTCGGTACACCTGCGCTCATGCTCTGAAAACGAAACTGGGTCACGTTGAACAATTGAGCCAAGTGAGAACTATTGTGGGCTAACTCTGTTTTTGTCATTTAGATTGAAATTGTGTCTTTCCTCTCAAAATTTTCTCACTTAAAAAAAAAAAAAAAATGAAGAAAATGAAAATGAAGAGAGTTAGCGCACTGTATTTGTCAGTGGCTGCGTTTTGTGGAGGATTTTTTACTCACCTATAGTTCCCACTGAAAATAAAATATGCAAATACCATTAAAAAAAATATCTAATTTTGTGATGCTACAACCCTGGTCATCTCACTTTTTTCAACTGGTTAAATAAAGGAGGGATTTTAAAAAATTATGTAAGTAGCTGCACATTCAAATGTGTTGCTCGGTTATCCATTAATGAGGTTTGAGATTTGCATGCAGCCAGTGACGCTCACATTTTGCATATTTGTGTGCTTGTGCAGTACAGTATAGAAACGGCCCACTGCAGTCTTCTTTTGTTCAGGACTAAGAAGCTTTCATGGCTGGCTGTGGCTGAACTCAGTGCTGCCCCCTAGTGCACTGCAGGGAACAGGCTTCTGTATGTAATGACTTGGCAAATGAATTTACATCTTTTTTAACGTATTCTCTAGGAAGTGGCATTGTTGTTGTTGATTTCATTATCATGATTATTATTGTTACAATTTTAAGTCTATTAATTGTTATAGAATGTTCTGAAATATGAATTATTATTCATTGACATACATTTTTTATTCTTTATCAATATTAATGTTAGTAGTAATCGTTTTAGCAGTGGCACGACTAGTATCAGGAGTCGTAGTTGTACTAGTACAGTAATGAATTACGTATTTTTATTCCATGATAATTGTTCAACTTTTTAAAGTTTGTTCTTTTTATATATTTTAAAGCATTCACACTCATTCATTTACATAGGTATTGTATATATGTAATGTGTATGTGAATGTATTCATTCATTTTCTTTATTGATTTATCTTAATAAATAACTGGTTTTGTATCATTAAAATTTATGTAAAAATAGGTAAATAATATTATGCACTGCAAACATTATATTTGATATATTTTTTAAATTAAATAATTAGAGATGCCTGATTGAATGTTCAAAATTGAGAATGAATTGTTACTGAATTTTTATGCAATACAAATAAATGTCCAAAATTACAATGTATACATGTAGAATTTAAAATATATTATTCACATATTTTCCATGCACCTTTGATCTTTGTTTTTTAAAAGCTCATCATAATGAGCTGGCCCGTCCGTCTCATTTAAATGATCAAATGTGGCCTGAGAATACAAAGGTTTGTCCCTACGCAACAAAAAGAATATTTTATATATCTTAATATAAAAAAATGACAGAAAGTCAAGTCAAATGTTGTCAGTTAGATTTTGAGTGGCCTTTAGCATGCAATGTTTGTCCAGAACATTCCATCCGTGGCGGCCCGCTAGCGCAGTGCTAACGTGGCTCTAACGGCGTATGTGCGTGCCGCCGCATTAATGAGCCGCGCTGTGACCCCGACGTTTAGCGGCCGAGGAAGCCGAGCAGGTAATGACTTTTCTCACAAAGAAAAACACAATTGCGAGGACGAGGAAAGAATCGGTAGGGCGCAGGAGGGTCCTAATAATCCCATTCTCATGACTGTATGTTGGAGAGTCAAAATGGTTATTAATCCCAGCAACAGAAAAATACGTTGAGTAGCCAGTCCTGCCATGTCTGGATTTCCATCGTGTCTATTTTTGAATCATCTACCTGTTAAATGTAAATTACGGTTGTCATTACGTCTCTCTTGAAAACAGTTGAGTCACTGGGATCTAGAGTGGGCTAACTCCATTTTTGTCAATTTGCAGTAAAGATTTAATGGCTTCAATAAAATCTGGGCCATTTTTTTCTTTTTCTTTTTTAATTTTTTTAAAGATCTTGTTGATTTCTATGACAATGATTACTCATTCCAGATATTTGTTTGCCTCAGATTTTGGCATTTCAGATCATATTGAATATTCCTACCATATTGCTTTCACTCTTGGCCACAACTGAGGTATTGTCATCACCTTCAGTGTCACAGGTTGGATATGGGTCAGTGTCATCTCGGTTGCCTGAAAAGAAAAGAAACAAGCTAAAATTACAAGAAAAAAAGGTTCAATAGTGGTAAATTGCAACTGTTTTAAAGTGATCTGAGGAGTTTCAATTAGTAAAAAGAAGCACATTTCTCAGGCTTTTCAGAGGAGAGTAAAACTATCTATTAGTGGCAAAGCTTGGTCCCACACTATACTTTATGCCAATCCAAAGAAAAATATATTTTAAAAAAATGTAAAATATAGAAAATATATTTTAAGAAATTCTTCTTTTGTCCACAAATGAACATCTTCAGATTATCTAGAAAGCCTGAAAAGAAACTAATTTGGATTCCGCAAAAATAGTAGAAAATAAATCTTAAATCTATGAATATTCCACAAAAGATGGTTCATATTTAATTTTACTGATGTGCACCCCAATGAAAGTGCAACTTACTTTCTGAGTCGCTTATCAATCTCCGAAACTTATTTTCTAGGATGCTGGCCCAGTCATGCACTGATGAATCAAGAAAAGTACCGAGTGTGATAAAAGACTGCAAAATTGGAATTAAACTTTGATTTCAACCAGCATTCATTTGGAAGGCTCTTTTCTCTGCATGGAACTTTAAAATGACAAAAAGGGAGGCCACTCTAGTTCTCAGTGGCTTGAATCAGTGATTCTCAAAATGTGGTACAAGTACCATTGGTAGTACGAGGGCTCCCTCTATGCAAACGAATCACTGCTCATGTAGGCTAATCCTTCAGTTATATTTAACTTTTAAGTTCAATACGAAAGCAGAACATTTGACTGTTTTACAATATATTGTCTGTTAGCATTTTTTGTTATTTTATAACAGAGAGAAAAAGTAGCAAAAAACAGGCAGTTTTTGGTTTTGTATGTGTGTCTGAACTAATGTTGTAATGTGTTGATGTGTTAAAAAAAAAAAAAAACAAACAATTGGTAATAATTACTACATCAGCTCATGGAAATTTTTATTTATCTTTTAAGCACAATACATTTTAATTGAATCAGTACAAAGTGACAATTTTTTTCGTGTTATGTTTTCCTCTCTTTTCCTTTTAGTGTGTGCAACAAAGCTATCTGGGCATATTTTTGGCCTCACTTAAATTTACGAGCAAAACGACTCTTTTTATTTTGGCTCGTAAAATGTCCAATAAGCAGAAAAATGTGACGGTAGCCGCGTGTTGACCTTTAGTGTGTGGAGATTATTCTTTCTGTCAGCCATTCGTGTGACAAGACGCAGTAGCAGGTTATCTCAAGTAGCAGCCTAGCCTTTTTTTTTTTTTTGTAATTTTTATTTCCGTCTTTCTTGCTCGGTGTTGACAGTTAATATGTAACCCGTCTGAGAAGGAATCAGCACATTTCCTTCTTGTTATACGCAGATCGATAGAGGCCAGCTGAGTTTCATCATTGTCAATATTCAAAGAAAAAAAATGTGGGATGATTGTACATGATAAAAAAACATGCATCCGATCAAATTTACCAGGCAAGTTTTTATTACAGTTATTTATTTGCTGACTATTTGTTTCTGTATATCTGGTTACATCTTGTATAGTTGTCCCTCCACTGCTTAAATGTGGACTTTTATTGACGTGTATATACATTCAATGCTGCTGACTAGTCTTGCCGAAGGCTCACATCTTTATTTGTGATTCATCTTATTGGGTTGTTACTCTTGTACAGTACAGTATATGGACTGTTATTGATACATGTATAGTTGTTTGTGGAACTTACAACGCTACTGAATATTCTTGCCGAATATCCACTTCTGCACATAGAGGTATGATTTATTCATGTTTAGTTGTCACTCTACTGCTCACGTTGTATGTGGACTATAATTCTATTTACACTAATACTTATTAGTCGATACGTGTATAGTTTTTTGTTGCATAAAATACTGGTGACTATTTTTTGCTGATCATCCACTCCTGTAAATAGCACTTATTCATGTACAGTATAGTTGTTAGAACCACTTGTGTTTACTTAATTCTTAGGTGCTTGTATAGATGCATGTATATAAAATGTTATTGAGACATGTACCATATTGTCTTTTGCTGGAAACAATGATGCAGACTATTTTGGAGGACTATTTCCTTCTAAATATGCCATTTATTCATTTGAATGTTTGACTCCACTGATAATACTGCTGGTGCTTTTTTCGTTCTAGATTTAATGATAGATCTAGATTTATTGATATAAGTCTATTCTGTGCTCCATTGGTGCCGACTATTCTTACTGACTTTTCACTTCACTGTGCTATGATGTTTTTCATCAAAATTGTCACTTGATGGCTTTTAATATGATTATGTATTGATAAAATACATGGGTAGCTGTTTTGTTACATACGATGCTGCATATACCGACAGCTACACAAAAATTGAAAAGGCCACTCCAAAATGATCAGTTTCTATGATTAGCCATTAATGTCATCCGTCCATCCATCCATTTTCTAATCCGCTTATCCTCATAAGGGTCGCGGGCATGCTGGCGCCCATCCCAGTTGTCCTCGGGTAGCAAGCAGCGGACACCCTGATCTGATTGCCAGCCAATCACAGGGTACACCATTCACGCTCACAATCACACCTAAGGACAATTTAGAGTGTTCAATTAACCTACCGTGCCTGTTTTTGGAAGGTGGGAGGACACCGAAGTACCCGGAGAAAACCCTCGCAGGGACAGGAAGCACATGCAAACGCCACACGGGAAGGCCAGAGCCTGGATTTGAACCCCTGACCTCTACACTGTGAGGACGATGTGCTAACCAGTTGACCACAGTGCCACCCTGTATTCATTTTTTTTATTGTCTATATAGTACAGTATGCAAATGTACATTATACAAAAATGGACCAAACATAAATTGATAATTATTATAATTTTGATAGCAGACCTGGACTTTTAATTCCTTTTGAATCGACATTTTGTGTGTGCATGTGTGTGTGTGTGTGTGTGTGTGTGTGTGTGTGTGTGTGTGTGTGTGTGTTTATTCAAGTCAGCTACAGAACGATTAAGATTCTGGCCCGGCGCCACCTAATGTGCAAACCGCAGTTATCTATTATTTCATGAGTGAAGACAAATGGCTTCACACTCGGTGGACCACAACGTCTGTCCTGTCCTGGTGTGGCGTCTTCAAGCATCGTCCACCTCACGTTCACTCTCTGATCCCTGCAATCCAGTTGAGTCTCTGTTATTCTTTAAACGAACATGTGGCGACACTCACCGGCATCGATGGCTGCTCAAAGTTCATTTTTTTGGGGGGATGTGTAGATGATGAAGGTGATGATGGATGTGAGGGGTGACCAAAAGGCGACAAATGGGTGATGAAGATGAGCGGTTAAAGTGTGAGGGATGTCACATGACATATCAAAGAAATGATCTGTTGACAAGTTTTTGGCCTTCTTTTGGGTTTACACAGCAATATACCACACAAAAGTCTGAAAAAGAAGCACAGAGTGAGACTAGATTAATCATAACAGCCACGTGCTACATAAAAGCCTGAAAAAAACACAAAGTGAGATATAGGAAAAGGCGTGACTGATGTTTGCTTCAAAAAGCCTGAAAAAGAAGCACAGAGAGAGACATAGCGAATTGAAACAATAATATGCTATGTAAAAATGTGGAGTGAAAGCTTGCTAAAACGTTCCAACAGTATGTCACACAAAAATCTGAAAAAGATGCACAAACTGAGAGAAGTGACAAAGTATGGCAGAAGCTTGCTAAAAAAGCCTGAAAAATAAGCACAGAATGAAAACTTGCCAAAACATGATAACAGTCTTCCACACAAAAACCTGAACAAGAAGCACAGAGTGAAAACTTGCCAAAGCGTGACAACAGTGTGCCACAGAAAAGCCTGGAAAAGAAGTACAAACTGAGTTAAGTGACAAAGCGTGACAGAAGTTGGCGACAAAAGAAGTCGAAAAAGAAACAAATTGTAAAACCTGCCAAACAGTGGCAACAGTGTCCCACACAAAAGTCTGAAAAAGAACACACAGTGAGAGCTTGACAGCAGTCTGCCCATATATCACCCCACAACAATGAAGCTCTCTAAAGCAGTTAGACAAGCGCATAGCCCTTGTCCATAAAAGGTCTGTCACATTGGATTTTAAATAACCCAGAAAATTCTATTGCTCTTTTGCCTTCTCTCTGTGATGTATGTGCACTCATGGCCAACAACAAGCCACTCTAACGTGTTCAGGCCAGTGAACTATCTGAAGGGGATATGCAGTTTTCGAGCTTAGGGAAAGCTAGCTACCTACCTCCACTTGCGCCAGGTAATTTTTGATGCAAAAGACGGCGTTCAAATTTTGATATAGTGGTCAACTCATGCCAGACTCCAAAGTGCCTCACGTCATTTTAGACACCCCTCTCCAAAAAAAGGAAATAGGAAAATTGAAATGCATGGTGAAAATTGGTTTACTGTTTTATTTCCACAATTGAGTATGACATCGGTCTCAGAGTTTATGTTTTCAGCAATTATCTTCCAACATCCAGCCATCCATTTTCTAATCCGCTTATCCTCATAAGGGTGCTGGGCCTGCAGGAGCCTATCCCAGCTGTCTTCGGGCAGTAGGCAGGGGACATCCTGAACTAGTTGCCAGCCAGTCACAGGGCACACATAGACGAACAACCATCCACGCTCACACTCACACCTAGGGACAATTTAGAGTGTTCAATCAGCCTACCATGCATGTTTTTGGAATGTGGGAGGAAACCGGAGTACCCAGAGAAAATCCATGCAAGCACGGGGAGAACATGCAAACTCCACACAGGAAGGCCGGTGCTGAAATCGAACCCTGCACCTCTGCACTGTGAGGCCAATGCGCTAACCATGCCGCCATATTTAGATACAAATCTCCAAATTTGATTAATAGGGTGTTTACGGTTATATCATTCACAAATGTTGTACCCGGGACCTGTCTTCTTTCTGAAGACGACAATTCTTCTTGTCTTTCAGACTCAGGTGGACACATACTGCGTAACACTTCCATGTAAGCCCTCCCAGCACCTTTGTCCCAGTGGACTCTGTCCCTCAGCCTTGTCCCTCAGCCTCCACACTCCTCTGCTCATCCTGAAAATTAATTCACATGCACATCTCTGAGTGGCCCACCAGCACATTAAGCGCACTCGCCCCTGAGTTCAGGAGGCATCCTATTGGAAAAAAAAAAAAACGTCCCTCTGCAGCTCACTTGGCGAAACATCAGTTTGAACTTTCCCTCGTTGTTGAATTCCCACCATCACACCGCTGGTTGGTTTTGCTCAAGGGTGGGTAAGCTTTACCTTAAACTCATCTGAGGGTACAAAAAAAATAGGTGGGACTCCATCACACACATGACGCTTGGTATTGTGTGAGTATCCTATCCGTCTATATATGTGGTTCAAATTTGTTAGCAGACTCATCTCTACAATGAGTTTATTTTTGAAGATAGGAGGAAGAAGTTGTTAAAAAAAATCTTTCAAATGATCACTTCAAGCTAAAATGACTTCATTTGTCTTTTCAGGCCTCTTAAGATTTTTGGTGACTCTCCTCATGAATCACGTCTACCATGGCATGTCCAGATTTGGTAACAATTAGACAAAATTCTGGGGATAATGGTCTCTTTGATTGACACCTGGAAATGGTAAAAATGAGCCTACAAGTGTTTCCTCAAACCAAAATGACATGGCATAAATTCTTCAGGTTTTTTTTTTTTGTGGTTCTACTCATGATAGAAAAGTTCCTGTTGCTATGTTAAACTGGCTTTCGGGGCTAAATTGATGAGGGTTCAGGAGGTGCACCAGACCCTAAAATGGTCGCTTAAAACCAAAATAAAAGCCTTTGCATGTCTTTTTCAACATGGCTTCTTGACACCTTTTTGTGGGTCTACTCAGTGATAGAAACACCTACCAAATTTCATGCTCCTAATTCTAACAAAAACAAAACAAAACAGAAGCCTTCCCATGTCTTTTCTGGCATGGCTTCTTGAGACATTTTTGTGGATGTACTCATGATAAACATGACAAGCAGAGTTCAAGCTTCAGAGGCTGAATTTTCAAAAACGAGACAAATGAACCATTCGCTCTGGTGTCCATGGCTCTCTTAGCTTGTCATTTGTTGCTATGGGCTGGTGGGGAAGACTTATTGGGTGAGTTGGGGGTTACGCAACACTGGCTGCTTTGTGGAGGACAGAGAAACTATAATTGGGGGCCATTAGGCAGCTTGGCCACAGCCACTCATGCACATCCAGTTTGTAGATTGAGAACATGGTGACTGCACAGTCCCACCACCCGTGTCCGTGTCCCCTACCTGTGTGACTTACCCCTGTGTGACCCTCCCAACACAACACATACCTCCCCATGTCCTTTGTCTTTAAATAAACCTTGACTAGAGTCAGGGACAGACTAAAAAACAATCAAATAAAAAAGTCTATTTTATGGCACTTTGGGGGCAATCTATAGGCCATCACTTACCTGTCTTACAACACCTGCCACGCTCTGTCTTGAGCTTTGAGCATTTTTTTTTTCAATGCAATTGTTTATTCACACTCTAGGTTCATAAAAGATGCATGGTTAAATTTAAGAATTAAAAAGTTATCATACAGCACAAAAAAACAAAACATATACAATGACTAATTACTGTGTTTTACAAATAAGGATGTTAAACAACATGATGTATAAAGTGCACTCACCAGACTATTCCAGTTGGGGTAATAAAGCATGAATGCTTTTACAGTAAGTGAAATGCCATGGATCTAAAATTGCTGGACCGCAGGACTTTCTCTTGCATAAATGAAGGCTAGTTAGCTTAATTGGATTTGCCGCTAAACATCTCGAAATAAGGCTTGAATAGCAGTTGAGTTTCCACAACAAATTGTGTCAGCCTGACCTAAAGTTCAATGACCACAAGACAAACACAACAAAATATTAGCAGTGTTCCCAAATGAAAGTTAACTCAACATGAATAAAGGTAGACTAAGACCAAAATGCCATTAGCATGTTAAATTTAGTTAAACAAATGCTAACTTTAAGTGAATCAACCTATGCTAGTGTTAGTGCATAAAGGTTAGCTAAATGGATGCTAAATAAAGATTCTACAATCTAAAGCAGGGGTGTCAAACTCATTTCACATGGTGGGCCACATACGGCCTCGGTAGATGTCAAGTGGGCCGGACCATTAAAATGATACAATACTTTGCTATAAATAACCAAAACAATATGTCTTTCCTTTGTTTTGGTATAAAGAAGCACAAGAACATTAGGAAAATGTTGAAATTTAATGAACATATCTTTTACAAAACATTTCATGAAGCACCTTACATTTCCTTCGACAAATATGCAATTTACTTTTATCATTCACATATATGCATTGCAACTGATCCCACTGATTGTACAAACTTTAACAAGTAATTGGTATTGAAAAATATAGTAATGCACTTTAAGATTAAACAAGATTCATAAAGAAAGCAAGTTTTAAAGCATTTACACGTGCATATAAAATCTAAACGTAATCCCTGCCTACACCTTACAAACTAAGGAGAGTGCTATTAAATGTGTAAATGTGAGAGTGCTATTGATAGCGTCTGCTGTCATGGGTCTGTCTCAGTGACAGACTGAGGCTGCTGTTGTCTTCTTCTCTGATCAAAACAGTGTCCCCTTGCGGATACTCAATGAATTGCACCTGATTAAAAATATTAATTCTGTGTCTTTAATGCATTTTTTTCACTTTTACATTATCCTGCGGGCCTGATTGAACCTACTTGCGGGCCGGTTCCGGCCCGCGGGCCGTATGTTTGACACCCCTGATCTAAAGGGTAGCGTGTTAACTTTAGTGAAACAAATGCAAATTTAAAGCCAGTCAAGCTAAGCTAAGTTCAAAGTGATAGAGAGAGTAAAGTTAAGCTAATACACTAGAATGCAAAGTCAATCAAGCTAAGATGAGATTTCAGAGATAGTATGTTATGTTTTGCAAAACAAATGCTAATTTAACATGAATCAAGCGACCAAATCCTTTACAAACCTTTTAAAAAACAAGTTAGTCAGCGTGCAACTTCCTTGTTCAAGACCGTAACACATATTTTTTAATTCTAACATTGGGGAAATGGTTTAATCATGACTCAACGGCTGGAATGGATTTAATGGCATTTCCATGGGGAAAGCTGATTTGAGATAAAAATGATTTGAGTCATGACCGAGGTTGCAAATGATCGGGAATGAAGCCCAACACAGCCCCAATGAGGGTTCAAAAGTACAAAAACGACTTCCTTTCATGGGACCGCCACCTTTTTATGGTTAGAGCTGATAGCACACGTGACACACAACATGCGACAAACATGTCAACATTTGTACAGTACATCCCATCGGATCACAGAATCATAGTACGTGTTTTTTTTTCCGTCGTGTGTTTGAAATCATGGAAAGGTGCTGGAGTCTTCCTCCCCTCACTCAAACAAAAGCTTCCTTATCGGAGCCGAACCCTTTATGGACCATCACCTCATCACCTCGTAATCCCGCTGCTGTCAAGGATAAGATCATCCACTTATCATAAACACATGAATTATACAAGCACTCAGTCGCAGGAAAAGTACTCACACTTGGTACTTGGTACTTGGTACCAATCTCATTAATGATCCCAGGTTCAGGTTCCTCCATGTCACTACTGTCCCTGTTTTCACTACCTTGTACTGTATGCGCCCAAGATCTAAACAGTGCTTGACTTTCCCTCATTCTATCGACATTCTTTTGCATGGCATCTCATCATCAGCGGAGGTTGTAAAAGAAGACGAGCCTATATGTACAAACTAAGGAGAAGGAAGTACCCATAACTGTTTTCAAATGGAATGAGCAAAAATTGCCACAATAAGAAATACTCAAGTACAGCAAACAAACCTGAAATATCTACTTTAGAATGAATGCATGATGAAGTTTGATTCGAGAACAAAATTTAAAATAAAATCTTTCCCCAGTGAAATCAATGGAAATGCCATTAAATATTTCAGTCAACCCAGCCCCCCCCCCAAAAAAACCCACAATACTTTTTAATCTTTAAATCCTAAAAATAGCACTCCATAATATTGTAATTCCAAAAACATATGGTACTGTCACCATTAAATACAATGTAAAGAATGAAACAATTTTAGCCATATTTTTTGCTTCAATTGAATGGACATTGTGCTGCTCCTGGTGTGCGTACCATGGCCACCTGGAGTCACTACAATACAGACATGGGGATGTACAGCACATGGAGACGGTCACAAGTTACTCCTCTGTAAGCTGCAGTAATGATTAGTCATTCCTCACAGAGGATAAAGAATACATGTCTGTAAGTATTGTTATATTATCTGTTTACATGTTGTGTTAAAATATCCGTAAAGGTCTCTCTCTTCTTTGATAGTGTCAAGAGGAAAGTCTGTCCATCCATCCAT